GGCATAAAGTATAGTGATCAATTCTTTTTTTATAGAATTCTTTAATGTAGATGTCTGTTGTTTTATGGAAATTGTTTTTCTCTCCCTAAGGGTCGTTCCCGCACTCTAATGAAAATTCAAAAATACCACTCAAATTTAGAAATCTGCTTTCGAACACACCTCAAATATATCAAATTTATATATAGATGAATAAAAAAATTGACAATATACTATTTCGAAAGTATATGCAAATACTACTATCTATGAAATATGAACATTTAAAACATTTAAGCTTTGTTCGTGAAGTGTGTGTCCCGGTGGCTTGTTTCATATTTATCAATATCAATATCCATTCTTTTATGATAACCATGCAATTAATGTTTTTATTTTCCAACCATACATTACACTTTCACCGATTCTTAGACTAAAATTTGTTTCCTAAAAGTAAAATATTATGGGGATTTTTTACTGGACTCTATGATTTATTAGGACACATCATAAAAAGTCAAAAATATTTTAAAATTCGGAGATGAATTTTAAAATGGATCTCATACATACACAATTCATTTGTTTTCAAATCACACTTTCAATTTTATGATTAAATTTAATTCAAAAATATATTTTTGAAATGCCTTCGAAAATATATTTCCAAAACAGTAACTTAAAATAAAAATATCATGTACATACCTAAACACATCTTCCTATAAGCATAGTTACTCTAAATGATACGAAAGGAGTGACATAGATCTAAAAAACTAAAATGAATCACAAACTACTCGTTGTTAATTTACACATGAAAATTCAATTTGTAAATGTCCATGTTAACAATCCGATTTTCTCCGTAAAGTTGTTGCAGTTGTTTTACAACATCCTGAGTACCACCGGGACTTCCATCTTCCATCGTCCACAACAATAATTTCAAAATCAACACCTTTATATGAACAACGGAAACAAGTCTCGCCAGTGTTGTAAAAGGTGGCGATGAGTTGTGTATTTTTTTGTTTTGAAAATGTATTTTCGGAGACACTTTACTCTAGAAATAAAATTAAAGCGGTTTAAAAATGAATGATTTGTATGTGCATGAAATGTGTCCGAAGATATATTTTTAAATTCTGAAGAACATTTTAAAATTTTCATATGGTGTTATTCCACCATATAAATGGGATAAGAAATCTCCAACATTTTCTAACCTAAATGAACGGTCTTTATATTTTCTAGCTTTAATGAACCGCCCTTCGCCAAAGGGAAAACTAGTGTGAGAGTGTATTTTATTTTTGCATGATTTTATTATAAACGAGTATAAGATTATTTCAAAAATGTATATTCGAATCAAATTTTAAGAAAAAACGGAATGAGTCTCACTAAATATCTGTTTTGGTGTGAAAAGAGTATGTCTACTGTCTACTTAACGTGAAAAGAATACATTCTAAAATACAGTTTTAAATTCTGAAGACATTTTAAAAAAATTTTAAGGTGTTTTTTCATCATTAAAGTGTGATAAACAATTCCTTATTTTATTATTTGAACTAGTATTAAGGTGATCCTGTTCTCTCATCTACCTTGCTTGCAAGTGATGCAAGTGATCTCTTCTCAAACTTTTTTTAAAGATCAAAAATGTTTACTTGTGGTGCATAGTTTGATGATATTAATAGCATTATTATTTATAACATATATAAAGAGAAAACTTGAATTTTGTATAGCCTATTTTTATTTCAAATATACTCTTTTGTTTTTTATTTTAAAATTCAACTTCTCTTTTACTAACTTCTTTTTTATTAACTGTTATATGATAGTTTGCACAACTATTTAATTCAATTTTTTTATATAAAATTTAAATTTAAAAAGTTAAACACAAAAAAAATACATTCATAGGAATCAATCATTATTATTAGTATTATTGTTTTATGGAAGTCTAATTTGCACAACATATACTCGAGCTAGCATTTCCAAGTTGTAAGTCTGATTGATAGGGATGGAATGTGCACTCTTTGTCAATCTATCAATGATCACCCAAATTGCATCAAATTTCTGTTGGGATTTAAATAGGGTTTTTCAATAAACAATTTAACCTCTTAGCGGAACAATTCCGATGAAAGGATCTTAATTAAACCATTAATCACGAATGAAACACAACAAATAGATTTCAAATTACCTCTTGAATCGTGATTTAACTTTGATCACGAACGTCTCTACGAAGTCTACGCGAGTACAAATGAGAACGCAGTGCTAGCTGTCTCTAGTTATGAGAAATTGACAATTAGGACTTGCAAGGAAAATAGCTCCTCTATTTATAGAGAGCTACTAAAACCCCAGTGGTCTTATTTTGGGCTTTTCCAAAATAAGTCAAATCTTATTTAATTAAAACTATTTTATTTAAATAGATATTATTTATATTTAATTAAAAGTTTTTAGTTAAATAAAATAAAAATATTAATTAAATTAAATCATATTTAATTTAATCAACTGTCAATCTTCATTTATTTAATTAAATTAAATTAAATAAATTATATATGTGCTAGTGAATTAAACAATTTAAATACTAGTAACGCATTATTTATATTAAATCTTATTTAATTTAATCGTCAATTCCACTATCAGTATTTTATGTGTGTGACCCTAGGAAAATCTTCTCTACAAATCACCTAGCTCATCTCAAGAGTTTTTGCAATGTACTCTTTCAAACATGAATTATTTTTGGGATATTAATAGACGTGCATACTATCTTCGCTTGGGTAAGAACGAAAGGAAGATTTTTAACTTTGATGATCCAAATGCTATTGATGAAAAGGATGAAGAAAACCATATGGATGATGATCAACCTTTTGAGATCTCTCATGGTGCTCTAGGGGGTGATGCTACTATGCAAGATGCAAATCAGGGAGTTTGTCACGATGGTGGTTTTCATGCTAGTTTAGGATAAAAATACTAGAAAAATATGTTTATATATTATTTTAATTTCATTCATATATCATATTTGGCCATTATTATGTCCTATAGTTAGCCGTTGATGAAAATAAGATAATTTCTTAATGTAACTTAAATATTTTAAACACCATGTAAAATCTTTTAAATGTTTTTAGATTTTGGAGAGGCATCTCTAGATGCACCTATTTCTAAATAAAGATTGACATATTTTAGAGATACATTTTTGAAACTATTTTAAACATTGAAAACATGTCACTCAAAAACTATTTACATTTAAATTGTTTCGGAGATATATCTCCGAAATATCAGAACAATTATTTTTATCGATAAGTTGTGTATTTGTTTTCATATGAAGTATAACACACGATCTAAAATTATAAAAAAAAAAATAGACGTACAAAATAATAAGAGACTAATACTGGATGAAGTATAGCAATATATGTAATAAAAAAAATGTCGTACAATCAGATCCAAAATGTAATAAAACCGTAAAAATAAATTTGAGAGTATAGTACTACAACAAAATAATAACAGACTACTATTGTGTGTGCCTGACAACATCTCATCTACCTCTTCTGCCTGCTCTGACTCCTCAGCCATCAATTCCCTCGTCCTCAGGCAATGTCTCTGGTACAACACTGTCTCATGTGCCTCCGCCATGATGGCATTAAGGACTCGCTTGACACCAGACCCGTCAGGGAAGATACCCTCGTCAATGTCTGCCTGACCAGATGTACTTAGAGCCTCCAGAACCTGTTGGTTCCACTCCCGCCGAACGGGTGCGTGCTGAGCAACTCTGTCATATCTCAGTCTGTCAACTCTGTCAGCCATTATACATGTAAGGTAAAGTAAGACATATCATTAGTGCACGCAAACAACACACAAACAAGAAAATTTTAAATAAATAAAACATACTGCAGAAATTCTAGAAATACATCTCCAGAAACACCATAAAACTATAATGTTGAACAATTCCGGAGATGCATATCCGAATCTCTCGAAGTATATGAAACGCTGAACAATTGCAGTGATGCATCTCCGAAATATTCTGCAACACAAAGGTCGCTTCAATGACGAATGCAACTCATGAAAGTTGAAAACGTATTCTGATCGCCATTTTCAACCAACAAACTTACTTAATTATGTTACATGCGATGTCTACTCATTTCTAACCCTAATCATTGGTTTCTACTTGTTTACACTAAAACTCGAACATTTACCGAAAACTTAAAAAAACTTATTTAAAATTGATTATTCAAATGTTGTTTCCAATATTAGAGATAATCTTTAAAGTTCCTTTGACCTTCGTTTGATAAATTTTGATTTTGTGTAGGAAGTTGTATTGGAAAGAATGTAGTGTTGAGTTTGAGAAAAAATGTGAAATGAAGAATAATTTGACACAACTTATGCTCTAAAATGTTTCAAAAATATATCTCCAAAATATTCCAACGTTCACTTTATGTTTAAATGCAACTGAAGATATATTAACAAGGAACATTTATGAAATTTCAAACAGTGCATCAGAAGTATTAAAGGTGAAATAAGAAATTCTCTAAAATAATGTTAGAATCCAATCCATGTTATGCTAACTTTATCTCTAATGTACTCTAACAGTACTTCTGAAATTAACCAGCTTTCTTTCACAATAAAGTAATACTGCATGCTGTTTTTTTGGTTATAGAACAATCCCTTACTCTCCTAAGCCAACGAGGCTTCAAGCACGTTAATCTATCATACTGACAGCAAGAAAATTATTAACTATATTTTGTATACAATCTTAATCACATGAACAGTTGTCAAATACTAATAAGATAGTAGAAGCTACTTGATTCAAGATCCATTTCTTAAACATTTAACTAATGAGAAATTGAATAATACACTTTATATTTCTCATTAACTTCTTATTTGAAGCACATGATGCAGAATTCTGGAGAGCTTGAATCTTTAAAGAAAAAGGAAAAAGAAAAGGCTAAACTCCATAGAAAGAAAACTAGGACAAAACTGGTTTAATAATACAGAAGAGGGGACATTATCACTCTAAAATTTATCAACAATGATGGCATGAAATGATGCTGAATGGAGTACCAAAACTCATGTCACAAAGATACCCCGCCAGAGTAGTTATCGCATATGAAGTCTCCACCCATTAACTTCATCTTATCTTGCTCCTGCATGTCATGAACATGGTTTCAAATACACGTAAAATTTAAGCATGTGGGAGTTTGGCTGTACTCAATATGTTAAAGAAGTCATATAGCAACATCAATGGAAACACAATCATTATATTTCACAAATGATATTACCTGTTCCATCATTGAACTCGCCAAGTATTCCAGTGAACCAAGATTATTAGAAAATTGCTGCTGGCTTATGATATTTGCTCGAGGCTGTCTTGATGAGGAGCATTCGGTGAATCCAGCATGCTTCATTTGTATGGAATCACAAAACTTAGTGTCCATGCTTCTATGCAAGGTCGAGTTCGTTGTTGTTTGGCCTAGGGGAACAACAGCACTGTTAACGGGAGGGGGAGAGTTAATTGTTCCACAAGTAACATTTGAGTGGTAAGGAGCATCCTGATTATGATCTTCCCATCCTTGGAACGGTAAATTACTGTTTATATACTCAGGTGGATTACTAAAAATTCCTCCTTGGGAGTGTATATCTGCCAATGAACCATGGGTTTGACCACCAGGATACACCCCTTGCAAGGGCAAAGAAGCCATGTTATCTGAAGGAGGAATAGCTGTTTGTCTAAAACATTCACTTGAAGGAAAAGAATTTGTCTGGATCCCAGATAACTGTCCAGCATTTGACCAATTATCACTACGCCTACCTTGATCCAGCATATTGAAAGAAAATTCTGAATGTTGAGAAGCTAACGAAGAAGATGATGAACTTTCATATCCTATCCCTATACCTCGTTTTCCTTCAGGGTGTGTTTCTGACATCAAGGCATTGTTTGAAATACCGAGACTTGGAGTATGAAAACTAGAGTTAATTACTCTAGGTCTTTGATCCGGGAATTGACTTGGAATGGGAAAACTTGGTTTTACATCAGTATTCAAATTTTGAACAGAAATAATACCCTTGTTGTTTTGCAAGTGATCGTACCCTATAGACATTGGCATACCCTGAAGAATATTCTGATTAACAGGAGTTATGGCCGACTGGAATTTGAATTGATCATTGGAAGAATTGTTTAAATTTTGTGATTGGCCCAACTGAAGTAGTCCGGATGGAGAAAACCCGTGTCCATTCAGACTAGCCGGAGTGTTCAGATTACTAATTATCCCACTAGGTGAAAAAGATCTGAAAGCATTGTTGTGAAAATGTCCAGAACCGCCCATTCTCAAATAAGATTGATCCGCACTCCCTAAGGCTGCTGCCATACTAGCTTGTTGGTTTTCCACACAGCTAATTCTTTTCAGATAAAGTCTATACTTCTGCAGCCATTTCATAAACAGGAAACATTCAGTGAAAGAAATGGTTTAACTTATATTAAACAATTTAAACTAAAGAGTAAAGAACTAGAAAAATGCCTGGAGATGGCTAGCCACGTTCTCCCTTGTAATATTTTCGACATTCATCATATCAAGAATTTTTTTGGGTACAGCCTCTGCCAGTGAAACAACAATATCATGAATCATGACGCTCAGACTCAAATTCAGTAACAGAAAACTTCATGACGTGGTGTAAATTTGAGTGATAATTGAGACATGAAATTTATCCCAAGTAGCAGCAACCATAAATTTTTCTATACATCGGATTGAAAATAAACACCAAGCCAGTTATTCAACAATATTTTGATAATATAAAATGAGAAATAAAATTGGTAAAGCTTGAGGGATTTGATAAGATACAAAAATTGTTCTTGAATTGTAGGCAGAGTGAAGAACAATAAAACATACTGTCAATGCCAAGGTGATTTACAGCAGCAACAAACTTGCGGTGCAACTCCACAGACCAAACAACTCGAGGCTTCTTCTGAGCTGACGGGTCCTCATTGTCGTTACCATTCTCTTTATCCTCATCTTCATCTTCATCCTGATCCTTCCTTTTCTTATTAAGCTTCCCATTTTCATCTGAATTTTCTGTTCCTGCCGATCTTAGTCCGCTGCCACTATCAGAAGTAGTGTTGTCTGGCTTGCTCATTTTGTTTTTCCCCTTTGAATCAGATTTCTTCTTCCTAATCACATGCTGCCAAATATTCTTCAACTCCTCTAATCTCACAGGTTTCAGCAGATAATCACAAGCACCATGGGAAATCCCCTTCATCACCAGCTTCGTATCGCCATACGCAGACAACACTGAAATCAAACATTTCATAACAATAGTCATTGATTAATAACTATATCAATAACCAATAAACACAAGCCGAAACAATGAACAGCCGAAAAATTACACAACAGATCCCAACTTACTTATAACAGGAAGGTCCATCTCAAGTCCCACAAGTTCAAGCAGCTTAAATCCATCCATGTCTGGCATGTGCACATCACTGATAACCAAGTCAAACTTGTCTTTGTTTTCTCTCAGCATAGTCAATGCCGTTATAGCTTGACTAGTTGTAGTTACTACAATCCCCAATCATATATAACATAAGTATCATTCATTATACTGTATCAAGTGTTTCTATAACTCATCATGAGAATTTTATGAAGTCAAAAACCCTCAATCAACCTATTATGACTTTTTGAGAATCGTTGACCCTAAAATCATGAGTCTTTTCATCTTCTGTTTTTTTGTCCAAATGCTAACATCAACAAAAAAAACATTTTTTTTAATTTCTACCCAACTCAATTTCTACTAGTCCCAGTTAGATTTGATCCCAAAGTCCAAAAATGAAACGAAACACTACACTAGTTTAGTGAATAAAAATTATAACTTTATAAAATAAAACAACAAATTAACCCTAACCCTAACAAGATACATTATAATTGATGAAAAATTGTGCATAAAGAATAAAATTGAGTAAAAAAAAGGAGCAGATCCGAATCTACCATGGTATTGACATCTTCGGAGGAGACCTTCCAAGACTTTGAGGCAAGTGGGGTCGTCGTCGACGGCAAGAACGCGCATTCCGATGGGAAAGAGATCAGTGGAATCGTCCATTATATGAAACAGAAGCTTATGGAATAGTGATTATGGCGAGGATTGTTTTGTAATGAGAATGAATGAATGAATAATAATTGGAGGCGAAAAATTGGGGTTGGTGAGAGAGAGAGAGAGAGAGAGAGAGAGAGAGAGAGAGAGAGGAATCTGCGATAATCCAAAAAGTGGAGTGGATGAAGTAGTACAAGCTGGATTGGAATCTGAGTAGGAGTGGACGGTCGTGATCGTAAGGAAATGCCGGCGCGTTATAGAGACGCGCGAAAATGGGATTATTAATAATATAAGACCCAAATGGAGGAGTATTGAGTCCAAATGACTAGCTGGGCCACCATGTGCCACATGGGCTTATGCTTACAAATTGGAAGAATTTACGTCACCATACAATTCATATAAGCTATACATAATGTCTACTTTATCCTTTTATTTAGATCATTTTTACCATTTGATTTTTCACATATTTTTAGTTTTTTTTTCAAGTCTCTAATGTGAGTACAATAATGTAAATCTCACTTGTTTTTACGTTCTAATATATGAAAAAGGGAATGATTCTATCTAGCTGTTTAGCTGGATATTTATAGATGTAGTTGTTTAACTGATTAGGAGTCAATGAAGAGATTTGTTCTAATGTCTACAAACTCGACTACATGTTTTTGGATTTTGACCCATTAATGAAAGGATTTGGACGAGTCATTCATTTTATGTAGGAGTTAAAGTAAATCCTTAAAATCACGGATAGTTCAATTATTTACTAAGAGCAATTTTAACATGCAGGGTTGTTAAACCAAAATTCTTTATACTTTAGGTTATAATAAGGAATTTGTATTATAGGAGAGCTGACATGACATCCAAATGAACTAAAATTTAGTTCCTATTATCTATATAGTTAACGTTAACTATATGAAACCTATTATAATATTATTTAATATTAATAAAATATTCCAAATATTCCAACAACATTAAAGTAAGGGTATGATATTTAAAAATAGTAACGGTCATATTATTATTTTTTACCTTTTATAAATTCTATAGAAATTTTAATTTTTTTTACACACTGTTTTACTTCTAAATTTTTTTCTTTCAATTTCCATTCTTATTTATTTATCAAATGGATCTCAACCAACCGAATCCTTATTATAATTATATTCCTATGAAAATGTAATTTTTTTTATGTATTATTGTTGTGAATTTTGTATCATTTTTAATTTTATAATAAAATATATTTAATATTATTTTTAAGTTTTTAAGATAAATTTTATTTAAAAAATTATATGTATTTTAATTAAAATAATTAAATTAATGGTAACTTGAATAAAAAATATAAAATGTGGGGTCGAGTTTTGGTTTCTTATAGACAACCACCATTAAAGTAAAAACTACTCAAATCAACTATAAATTTTTTAAATCCTACAAATCACTTTGGACCCACAAAAAGTATCTTAGTTTACCCATTTAGTTTACTGCCACTAAAGATGCTCTAAGAGAGATTTCATTTGACTTAGTAAAAAATGTGGTTTGACACGTTCTTTAACAAGATACGTCATAGAGGGAGTGAGTCAAGCTGGATCACGTGATCTCGCCACTTTTATGTAGATATTTAGTGTGTCATTTAAGAGTTTGGGCCTAGCTGTTGGGCCTAATCAAAGATATTCCAGTTCACAGTCTTTTAAGCACAAGACATGTAAGAGCGAAGTGGTTAGATGAGAACATTCCAGTTCACAGTCGCTTAAGCACGAGACATATAAGAGCGAAGTGATTAAGTGAGAACATTCCAATTCACAGTCCCTCAAGCACAAGACTTGTAAACTAGAAGTGATTAAGCAAGAACATTCTAGTTGGTAATCATAAATACATATGATTACATATGTGTGCGTTCGAACCTGCGACATGTCTAGTCCCTCAAGTACAAAGCATGTAAGGATGAAGTGATTAGGGAGTGTTCGAAAGTTAAACCAAATGGCTTGTTAATTTATATGTGTACTCGTGTTTGATACTTGATCTTAGTATTTTGCGGAAAGTTATTGGCAACTTGCTTAGTTTTAATGGTTAAACTTTGGGATTAGCAATGCAATTAATGTAGTGAAATGATTAAAATTTTCTTAGGAATGACCAAACAATCTAGGTTGTTTTCCTATTTGCATGTTTGCGATTAAGACCATTGATGTTATAACACAATAATGCTGGTTAGAACCCTATGGATATTTAACAAATATAAGGAGGTTATTCTTCTTTTATAAATGCATGACCTTTGGTATTTATTTGTCATCGTATTTTCAACCTTTTACCTTCTTCTTCTAGCGATTGTACCTTTTTTCACTACTTTGTTCATCCAACTCACCTAACAATAGTTTTTTAGCACGTAAATATGATAGTCCAACATAAAATGCTACTAAAAAGTGTTGTTTTTCTATTTAATATTAGATTAACATCGTTGAAATATGATTTGAGATAGAAAATATACTTGCAAAAGCAAAATGAAGAATGACCATGCCTGCATGTGTGATTGCAAGCAGATGCTTTTATGGTGGTTATCTGACATTAATGAATGATCTTGTCAACCTTAGGGGTTGGATACTTATAGTTATCTCTATGGGCCAGATCAAGTGAAGGAAATAACCCTTCCTCAACCTTTTGAAGAGCACGTGGGACTAGGAGGAATAATTTCCTTCTTTCTTATTGAAGTGGTTACTTCTTTTATGATATGGTCAAACTATTAGTCTCCCATTATTCTTGACTCGCCATGTACATATGAGTTAGGTAAGTGGAAATAACAATGTACAAGTAGGGGGCCCACAATTATTACTGGGCGACCCAAGTAGGCACCCGCTCAATTTCGTCTACATATTGGGTGAGCTTCTTAAGATATTTGGGATGGCTCCTTCATATCCCAACTAAGTTATATTGGTTCGCATTCCCTTAAGCGCGGAGCCTATTAATTGTGAATTTAACTTGTTAACACATTATGGTCCTTGTGAACCTTGCGATAACGAGTCAATGTGTGATTACCTCAAAGGAAGTCTATGAAAAATCCCTCAATCATCACTTGGGGTGATTCCCTCAAGTGCATCTTGGGACGATTCACTTGAGCATTACTTGAGGAAACTTGTGAAGCATTAAATGATCTTTCATGATGGGGTTGTCTCAAGAAGGTAAGTTTGTTGAAAACTTTCGATCCCATTGCACATGTTATAACTGAGATGTGGATAAGCCTATCTCCTAGCTATTGACGTTTACCTAGGTTGGGGTAATGATGGCCTACGCGACTAGGTATTTACCCCTATAAGAAGAGAAATCAAACCATTTCCTCTTCACGCTATGTTCAAGTTTCCTATTTTATCATAGCAAGTTTGTACTTAATCATTCTAAAGTTCAACTTCATCTTTATCTTTTGTTTACAAGTATAAAATCTATTCCATTCTCATCATCCTCCATTTTTCCAATAATGGTGATTATTAGGGATTTATATGAGAATGATAACGTGGTAGATCCTTCTACTCATGAGGAGTATATTGAAATATGGAAACACTGTATTAGGGATGTGAGGGTTCCAAACAAGACAATTGATTACAACATAGTATAACTAGACATGTTTGGTAGTTATAATAGTAGTAGCGACTCTAATAATGATAGTGACCCCCTTTATCATGTTTTTTCTCTGGAAATCTAGAGTTGTCAATGGTGACCACTTCATCCAAACTTTCAAGAGTGGATGATTTTGAAACCTATTATACCGCTAAAGAGATAGCGGCCTCCTTCTAGAGAAACATAAACCTCTCTAAAACGAGTTACAAAAGGGGACATTTTCTAGGAGCATTGTTATAAAGAGGAACATGTTAATATGGCTGGAATTTTGTTTTTAAGGGGACAAATGTTGGACTAGATGCTTAAGTTAAGGTGTTCAACATCTTAAACTAGGATTGACAAATTGTTGATAAACAAGATGATAAATGATAAAGTAATAAAAAAACATAAATAGTTGTTACCGCAATTTATAGCAAACAACACCTACGTCTAGGGGGATTCCAACCCAAGAAAGAAAATCCATTCTTCAATAGAATTTGTACAAATTGTCTTAGATGAACAACCCCGTGTTCAATGCCCCTCTTCTTAATTATGCACGTGTCTTTCTATTTAGGACTCCCCATAAATATGAGAACCCCTCTCACTTTCTCTCAATCACTAATCCCCAGTGATCACTACAATAGTTAGAATAATTAATGTTGAATTACAACTCAACTAATAAACCAAACTTTATGCCTTTAGATATGAATGGAGGCACTAGAGTGGTGCACAAACAACAATAAAAACAAAGACTCGAAGTATAAACCCTAACACATGAATCCTTAACACTTACACACTTTAAACATTAGGTTTGAGTCTCCTTAAATGGTGATGTAATCTTCTAGGCTTTTCTTCAAGGGTCAAAAGATATGAACACATCCAGATTTACAGAGGATTTAGTTTTTATTTGTTTTGAAACAACCTCAAAAAACATTTGATTTAAATTTGAATTTAGACTTAAATCCCTAATTGATTTGATTTGATCCTTTTAATCAGCCAAACAAATCTAATGAATTCATTTATAAAAGATAACAACAAATCTGATTAAATCCCAATCATAAAATCACGCTATAAACAACTACAACATTGTCTCGTTGAGTAGGGCTAGATGTTGCACACATGCTAAAACATCAGGTTCCACATGTGTCCTTCGAACTCAGACTCATCACTGATCCCCCTTTCTAAACTAGTGACTCGTCACTAGGCCGAAGTTTTTACATATATCACCAACAATGCATGGTGCATGAAATAGAAAAACAACAATACAGATGTAATAGTCATCACTAGTTGCCCTTTGAACCGTAAACACCACCAATGTAAGGCCACCACGGTAGTTCCTCTATGAACTACACTTCTCAATATAATTCAATATAATATATATATATATATATATATATATATATATATATATATATGTGTGTGTGTGTGTGTGTGTGTGTGTG